TCACTATTCGGTGCATCAATAGAAATATACAGTTGAGTAACTTGAGGGAGACTGCCCAGCTCCTCGGGGTGTTGTCCATTAGTAACTATCATCATCATCATACACCGTCACGCGCCCCGAAATTATACCCAAAAACGTCGACATACTGTACGGAGGGCTGTGCATAACTCGGAGAAAATCGGCCATTCTCGGGTACATCACTGGTTCGCCCACCAACGACAGCGCCACATGCCTGCATACTTCGACAATATCCCCAGAAAACCATTCTTCGAGACTACCGCGGTTTGAGAGCTTCCGAGAAACTGTCTGTGTCCACTTGAGCCCCCTTCAGAGGCTTGATGACTTTCGATATGTGCTTCTCCAACATCTGCTCTACTAACCATTCGGGGTCGTCCGCCTGAACAGAGATGATGCCAGTGTTGGTGACAATGGGAATTCTCGTAGATTTTGATAATTTCACTCCCAAAGTCGTGAGGAAACTCCCCAGCTCAGCAACACATACTGGATGGCGTCCTCTCGATGAACCAATCCCCATCGCCGCACAGAAGGACAGTGTTGGCGACGATGGGAATTGTCGTACATTTTTATCCATTTCAAGTCGTGTGTGAAATTCACTCTTTCTGTATTATAATACGCCCCTACTAATTTAAATAATTGCATAAGTTAACTCTTGAGCTCAGCTGAGGAAACCAGATATATAATACTCCGATCATCTCCGCCCACCTCAAAGGATCCCCATTTAAGAGCGTTCGGATGAGTACTCCCACGCCAACAGAATGTACATCGATTAGCACATGCCACGCTGGTTGTCGACTCCATACACCTGACGAACGTGGTCTCTAGTGATATGGAAAACACTGGTGAAAAATATATTTCACGACTACTGCATATCACTGCGAATATCGCCTTTTTCACAGAGTTTTACGCCACCTCACATAAAACGGGTCGTGAAACTCCAATGATAACTTTATATTTGATATAATAATTATAATATTTAATTCTACACGAAAATGATCATTAAATAGCGATATCGATATTCAAGTATGATGGAGTTTCACCCGTGAAAAATACAAGTGAAAAACATATTCCACCTGAACGCGTAAAATACGTGATGTGTTTTACGTGTAGTTCGCCAAGTATTTTCAACTCACTTCATATCGCGTTTCTCAAATGGAATATTACGCCACTTCACGTAAAACCGGCGAAACCCTAATATAGTAATACCATAATTCCAAAAACGGCCACCCCAATGACGACCCACCGATGACTCTCAATACCATAAAAGGTATGCTTATAGCAACCGCCCTGCCGACGAAGGCTACTCAACACCCATCGACAGCGTTTTACTGCAGAGTGACTCCCTGAGGCAATCCCTCCACCCAGGTTCGATCCCCGCACGTTGCATTTTTACCCACTAATTGATACCCTTTCGTCTGCAAACCCTCCCTTATTAAAGGCGTCATCATTTGCTTCAATAAAGGCCATCTTATCACGAACATCCGGCCGAGTGGTAAAACCTAATACTCTTCGGTTTTAATCTACATGGGAAAATATGGTCAACCAAATAACGTTGGTCACAATATAGAATTTTCGAGGAAATTCTCATTGATTTCTAAACGTTTCTACCACAGTTTGTATATAAACCTCTATTATTAGTGAGGAAACTCCTACGCTCAGCTGAGGGAAGTGAACGTATATTCCAACACTGTATGGGGTAGTGTTGGAAAATATGCACATGGTCAACTACACGTGTTGGTGACACTATGGAAATTCTTAGGAAAATTATTGTTATTCATATGAGTTCGCGTATAAATGTACAGAAATCAACAACAATTTTCCGAAATTTCCGCCAAAATTGTCCCCAACACATCTGTTGACCATGTTTATTCCCTCATACTGATCCGGGGGGACTGAGGTTGATCAACTACGCACAATATGCAAGAAGAGTGGTAACAAAT